TACCTGGGGAAGTAATGGGGAGAGTTTACAAATGTGAAATTTTGGTTTGAATTAGTTTGGAGCTGAACTTGCTTACTTGAAAAATCTGGTGCTATGCACATATATATGCCTTTCCTTTGTAAATACAACTCCAGTCTTCTCTATTATTCATATCCAAGTTTCACAGTCTAATGGAGTCTTTAGTTCCCTAAATCACTTGAAAATTGTCAAATGAGACTTTGGCATTGGCAACAAATATCCTTCCAAATAGGGTTCTGGGGTTCTATTTTTTTGTTGTTGTTGTTGTTGTTGTGTGTTTTCTCCCCTTATAAGAACAGCTTTCACTGCTTGTGTTTAACACAAAATATATGTAAGAATTATAGTTGTTTGATTTCAAATATCTGACCAAGAAAAGTGAGGTAAAGCCTCACTTTATGGTTCAAACTCATATGGAAAAGTGAGTTTAATTTATATCTCCTCCCTCACACACATACAAAGTTTTGTTTCTGCTTTTGGTTGGGTTTTATTTCCCCTACTTTAAATCCCCAGGGAATATTATTTGTACAAATTTAGTGTTTAAAAATAAAACCGAAAACATGAATAGAAAGTGGTAAGCCCTGCTCGAAAGAAAATTAAAATCTAGATCATCCTTTAGAATAATTCTATACAAACTTTTCTTCAATTTTCTCTCTGTTGAGGATACATTTTGAAGAATCATGGCCAATTGTGTTGGAGAGAAATACATTTTTGCTACATTATTTGTCTCTTGTTTTCTTACTCTTAGTTTTGTTTATACATTTAATAGTTGAAAATAAACCATGCTGTGTCCTGGTATAACTTGTTTACTACTTCCTCCCATGGTGTTTTGAATGTCATACATTTGTATTTTGTATTTTAATATTCAGCTTTTCCTCCTACTGCCAGAGGGGGGAATTATGCAGTCTATTCATATTCTGATTTTGTCTTTTCCGTTCTCTGATATTTTGGGGGAACAAGGGTGCTTTAAAACTCTAAAACTACCAGTTTATTTTATTTAAGTTTTTCTTATATGTTTTTACATTTTTGTATATAGAGAAATGGCCCCAGAAAATGTTGGTTCAGCATTTTAGGTGATAAATACTTATTTTACTTTATGCTGGTAATTACTATGATACTTTAGTGCAATTCGCAAGTGTTAGCCTGGTGTATGTACAGAGAAGGCGGTTATATTGTATTTCTAAATACTGTTGTAAGCATATGGATAGAAGATACCAGTTTGTATGGTAATGTGAGATGGCCCGGTTTTATTTTGATTTTTCCTACTAGAACTTGAAAGCTGCTATTAGGCACTTGATTTCAAAGCAGAAAGGGAAAGGACGGGCTGGCTCTTTAGGAGAGCCCTGGGTCCCCTTGGGCGCCAGAGCTAGCCTGCTTTGCCCTTCCTGTTTGAGACTAAGTTTTCTTTCAGAATTGCATTCACTGGCAGCTGCATACCAGTTTACCTTAAAATTCTCAGATGTATTCTCTTCTTATCCCTTTATACTGGCCTCTTCCTCTGGCTTCAAAGCAAGTACATCTTCTGGCTTAATTATTTTTGTTTACAAAAATTAGCAGGCACAAATTAATATAAGAATTTGTCTCTTACACAAAAAGCCTGTGTGCATGTGCTTATTCTCCAAGATGGTAGCAGACTCTACTGATGAAGTCTCTATGGCCTTTCTACAGTTGCTTTCATTTGCATGGCTCCCTCCTTTTGTCTGTATAGATTTTTTTCAGATGTTGTCCTGTGATAAAACCCGTGGAGCAACTGACAGAATTTTCTGTAAAGGAAATTTTTCAGGTTTTGCCTGCTTATCACGCTGAAGGGCCTGAAGACCAAAGATGGGCCTTAGGCTATGAAGGCAGCCTTAGGCCGGGGTGTCCTGCTCTGCTCTAGTGACCCCTACTCCCCCCCCCACGCCCCCCCCCCCCCCGTAGAGACAGCCCTGATCATAAGTCCTCTCTGCACCTTCCATAATGGCCAGTCCCAAAACATATTGCACTTGGAGGATTGGGAGGGGACTCTCCCACAAAAAAGGATCCCAAGGGTATTCTTTGTCAAGGAAGGCCAGCCTGTTCTTCAAATGTATCTACCAGTCTGTGCCCTCAATACTACATTCCAGTTCCTGCTCCCTTAGGTATTCAATCTTTAAATAAAGGTAATTATGTTATAGACAGTGTCATAAAAGGCCAAGCCTATAATTTTGATAAAAATATTTTTAGATCTATTGACGGAAGCAACCATTTAACCATGTAAACATTTAAACAGAACATCACTTTTCAAAAATTTGGAAGGAATCTTTTTTTTTTTTCAGTTCTATATAGAAGAACCTTAACCCATTAAATCAGGAAGACGTTCACATTTTTAGAAATTTGGCCCAAATCCATTACCAGGATCATCAAGGAAAATACGACTGAGGGAGGGATGAAACCATCATTTGTGCAGCCACTGTCCACCAACTGAGATATCCAGCGGGGACAGTTCAGGCATCCTGGGCTGAATGAGTGACCCAGGATTTGTCCCATGTGACTAGATAGGTCACTTCGCTTATCAAATGAGAGAACCATCTCACCATTATCTTGACATTTTTAGATGATTCTTCACCCTACAACAGCACAATTTTAATAAGTTATAGATTTATAAACCTGTAACAAATTTCATTTCCAAGCATAACATTTGTTACATATGTAACAAAAGTTACATAGTTTTCCATCTCCCTGAAGCCTCCTTTCTCCCTCCCACCCCAGTGACTTCTTACTCATCCATCAAGACCCAGCTTTCATTTCACTTGACTCTTTCTGTAACAGTGTTAAGTGATCAGACCTTCCTCTCTAAGGAAAGCAAAATGCCAGACATCCAGCAAACTGATGGGAATAGGTAGGATGTTAGATCCTTAGAGTTGACCTTAATCATGAAATGGCTGTCCAGCACTTTCTTGTGACAAAATGTTTCACTGTCCAGTACTCCTCATCAGTCATTCTGGGGAAAAGCCTCAGATCCCAGGCTATCAGGCAACGTCCCTGAGGCTAGATGGAATTGGCTGCAGATGCCCAGAGTTTGGCATTGGGGTCGCCCTTCTGTCTCATTCCCTCCTCCTCTTCTTGGACCATGCCATATGGAGACCAGGTAACACAGCAGCAGCAATGAGGATAACTAAGAATATGGAATGTGAACGTGATCCATAGTCTTCTTGAGCATTCTGACCAAGTGACCTAAAGGTGTAGATGAACTCATCCATGTTTGGAAAATAAAATACCATTGGGACTCACAATTTATTGAAATTTAATAAAAGTCATTTCCAAAGAATGTGAATCCTGGGGCAGGGAGATCATTAATTAATCAGCCCATCATAAGAGATGGATTATGGACTAAAGTATTTTGAACATAGCCCTTCAACACCAAAATGTTTGATTTGACTTTTTTTACATCACATCTGTCCTGCTATCTAGTCTTCAATGAGTCTTCTCGTGTTTGTAATTAAAGCCATATTCACCATCATAATCTATAGTCACCTGAGCTCCTTTTGCTCTGAAACCAGACATAGCACTATTTCATTTCTAATATGTCCCTAAACTCAATGCTAGTATAAGCAGCAAGCTGTGGTATTTAATATACAAGCACTTCAAATTGCATATATAATATTTAAATAACCACACAATTTTTTAAAACACAGAAGTCTTTTACACTAGCTATTGGAAGCAGTGATACTCTTTCTCACCATGTTGTCATCATGTTAAGAATTTTTGGAATTTCGGGACGCCTGAGTGGCTCAGTGGTTGAGCATCTGCCTTTGGCTCAGGGTGTGATCCCAAGGTCCCGGGATCGAGTCCCACATCGGGCTCCCTGCATGGAGCCTGCCCCTCCTTCTCCCTCTCTCTGTGTGTTTCTCATGAATAAATAAAATATTTAAAAAAAAAGAATTTGGAATTTCTCCTTTGTAACTTCCTGGAGATCCACTTATAAGCCACACAGGAAATCAGTCTTCTTGCTTTATAATACTATCTAGGTTGACACACAAAAATAGCATTACACCACTGGATCTCTTACTTTATAAACCAGATTTAGTGCTACTGATTTTGGATTCTTTTTAAAATTACTTCTTTTCTTACTAGTAGCAGCTGTCACTCTTAGGTGAGAAGATGCTGGAGAAGCCAGGGCAGCTTTGTATGACTGTTTAATCCCTTACGGTGACAGCTTGATGGAGACAATACTAACTTGGATTTTCTAGTAAGTACATATGTTTAAATAGACCTTATTTCCTTCCCTAATATCTCCTTCACTTCCAGTTCAAGGGCAATTATAAGTTTTAATTTCTTGGGCTACTTTTTTAATTTCAGTTTTCAGAAATGCAGCTATAAGAGCTAAGGTAGTCCTTTTAAACTATAAAATATTGGTACACATTTTACTGGACTACAGTGTGTAGTGATAATTAATTCCTGTTATACTTTTTTTTTCTATAGTCTTAGCTCCTTAAACCCACAGATAACTGGACCTGTAATGTTTACAAACCTGATAAAACCTCATGTTTTAAACAGAAAAAGAGGGGACAGCAAATTGCAGCGTGTTCTTGGGCCAGGGAGGGGGGTATAGACCACATCTGCATCTTTGGATCGGCAGCCCTTCAGGAATGATCAGGGAACTGCGAGCATGGGAACTTGTCTTACTGCTATTGTGAGCATCCCAGCCCTCACCCCCAAGTTAGCTCTCATTCAGAAAACCCTCTGACTCCATAGGTCCTTCTCCTGGCCTCCACATGATGGCTGCTGACGTCACTCAGGGGTAGGAACGCCATCCCTCCAGAGGTGAGATTCTTAAGCCACAACGAGCTGCAGGGGTTTCAAGGATAATGTTCAGTCCCAGATCACATGCCTATCAGAGGCTCTTGGCCACTCTGGTCACTCTCCTGGACCATGTTCATTCTTTAATTAATGTAACAAGAAGTACAGTAGCTTCTGGCATGGTTTCCTGATCCATGTCCGTTGTGAGCAACAGTGACTCTGACTCAGACAGATACAGGACAGGAAATGATTCGATCTTCTAACATCACGCTGATTATCAAGAATACAAAGTAAAGGAGGAACATCGTGAAGCCCAAAATCTTGTTCATTCTCCATTTGCACGATGCAATTGAAGAGATCACAAACAAGAGCATGAGAAAAAGCAAAACAATTGCACAAAACAAGCCATTGCTGCTGACTGGAACTGGCTGTAATCCATTGAGGAGAGAGAAAAGCAACCAAGGAACAGGCAGGCTGCAAGATTGAAGAAATGATGTGAACATTCTTAATTTATAACATAACAATCCCATATACATGATAATAATCCCACATGCATAAACAGAATTTTACAATTTACAAAGCATTTTTACACACACACACAAGCCTACCAAATAGAAGAGAAAATATCAGCCCCATTTCACAGATGATGAAACTAAAGTTAAGGGAAATTGAAATTACATGCGCAAGGACTCACAATAACTAGAAGACCCTAAATTAGGACTGAAATTTTCTGAGTCCAAGTGGGTTTTTTTTCCCTTCATAATTCATGATCTGTGTATGAGGAATCTCAGTGGGTTGATGTGTGACTCTTTAATCTCTCAATTTTTATGATAAATCCCATCTCAGGCTAACATGTCTTTAAATTCTTTATGGATGAGGGCTCTCCTGTGTTCCACCTCCCCCCCTCCATACACACACATACACAAATTCAAATTAAAGAAACCAAAGCCACCATCCAAATCTGAGATAGGCCTGTGGAAATGAAAACAGTCCAGAGGTTCTGCTCGGACCACTTGGGAGGAGGGAGTAAGAGAATGGGTACCGGAAGATGCAGCATTTGCATGTTTAGACAAAATGCTTTTAGAGCCTCTAAGCTGGCAGGAGTCCAAATGCAAAGGGCAGAAATATCAGGAAGCGAAATTGAGTCATTGCTCCTTCTAACCCCACATGTACACCGTGGAGATCAGTGAACAGAGCATTTGACTGTTTTTGGTAATGAATTTGATGGACTTTGTTTTTCAATTCATCTATAAATTCTACTCAGTTACCTTTCAGGCAGCATTTTTGTCCTATTATCCCATTTGGCTGTGATGAATGAAGGGAGGATATTTTGCTGCCTTGTAGACACTAATAACGCAAATGCCCTTTTATTCCATGTATAAATAATGAAGCAGAAAAACCAGTGAACAGAACCAACACAGTGTTTTCCAGTCATGTTCAATACGCCTTGGGAAACAACTTTGCCACTCACCCCACAGTGATATCAAATATGTTACTGCCCACAGAGCTTGACACAGCCATGTCTCCCAGGCCTTTCCGCGCAACAATCACACTGGTGATGAGGTCAGGAATGGATGTGCCTGCTGCTAGGATCGTCAAACCCATAATCTCTTCAGAAATCCCTACTGTTTCACCAACCTGGTAAAAAAGTAACAGTGATGAGAAACCATGGCAATGTCAAGGGGGACATCTGAGGCTCTCCAAAGCACCAACCACATGCTATTTTGTGCAAACCCAACACCTCCCCCCCCCCCCCCGAGCTCAGCACACTCCTTTAAGCCTGGGAGAAATGGACCACCCAGAGAAAGCAGGGCCCCTGCTCAAGGCTTCAGGACATGATGGAGTTCTTGTCCAAATTGGACCACAAGTCTATCTCTAATACCACCTCTCACTGTCATTCCAACTACAACCATCTCCACCTTTCCAAAAGAACTACTCCTCCAAAGATCTGTCCATATCATGTGTCCATTTCCAGAACCATAGACGCCTGCTATGTGCCTGGAACTAAGTTAGAGGCTGGAGATAAAAGAACGAGCACAACAGTGACCCTATTCCCAGGCTAGTGAAGGGGAAAAGCTCGTACCCAAAACCCCCAGGTAGAACAGAAAAGCCAGGGGAACTCAGAGGAAGGCTGACTAGATGCCCAAGAGGAGGCAAAACTGAGTCTGCTCTCACGAGTATGCATAGTGTCACCAGGAGGAGAGAACAAAGGCAAGCATCACAGAGCCCAGAATAAGGCTAATAAGCAACACAGTCAGCTGGGTCCGACAGCGAAGGGCCTTCTGTGTCAGGCTGCAATATGACTGTAAGACAAGAGCCACACTTGAAAATTCTACACTCACTGGAATAAAAAGTCAGCTTGTGAGCCTTTACAAACAATACAGAAACTACAAATTCACTTGAGCCTCACCACCACCTGGGTACTGGACATTCACCCTGAAGGGGGAAAAAAGTGTCCGTGGGCCCCACGGATGCAGGATTTAGTTCCCACTCTTTACTCACCTGGTGAGCCCACCATACCATCAGGTATGAGAACATGGCTATCCACACGATGGATCCCAGGAAGGTGACAACAAAAAACTTCCTAGACTCCTGTTTGCAAGTGTGAAAAGGAAGAGAAAGAAGTTGCAGAGACTAAAGGTCTTTGGCCCTTCAGAGGGAGCCCCAGAAGCAGTGATGGGATCTGCCGGGGAAGTGATGGAAAAGGGTCTGGAGACGTGTCTGCTGAGGTCAAGATCTCCAGTGAGGACCCTGAGATGGCTGGGGTAGGAAGAGGTTGGCAGCCTAAAGGGAGTCCGACCAGCAGGGCATTCAGCAGATACCAAACTGAAGACAGCTATTTGCTTTCCCTAGAACCATACTGGTCTAGGTGTTAGGTGTGGATTCTACAACCACCCCCATCCCCACCTCCTGCCCTACCCACCTCCAGACCTCGAGATCGAGTATGGATGGCCTTTGGGTAGAGTATGTTAGTCAGAGCTTTTCCTATAAATGAGAATGCTGGGTAGAAATAGTACTTTCCCCCTAGGCTTTCAGAATATCCCTGTGACAGGGGGAGCAAGGGGCTTGGCATCATTCCCATATTAAAATCAAGAAACTGACAATAGAGGTTAAAGGACTACTTCACCTGCTTATAGTGATGGAAATAAGCACATTTTAGGGCCTCCCAAGTCCACCGGGATGTCCCCTCGGGGCATGGTCCCTTCTGGAGCTGCAAGGTGCGTCCCAGATACTCTCCGTAGCTGAGCCCTGCCAAGCTGAGTTGTCCTGTCCTCTCACCTCTTGAGTGGGAGTGCCTAGAGACTCCACAGACACCCCCCCCCCCAGGGCCACCACTGGGCAAACTCACCAGCCTCCGGACGTCAGGCACTGTGAGCCACAATGGGAACACAATGGGCAGGAGGAACAGGTAGATGGCCTGTTTCTGCCTGGTCTCGGGCCACTCCAGGGACAAAGGCTCCTCATTGGCCTCCTCTTCTTCCTCGTCCTCCTCCTCGCCCTCCTCATCGTCCTCCTCCTCTTCCTCCTCTTCATCTTCACTGCCATCTTCTTCACCTCCCCCTTCACCATCTTTACCTTTCTCATCACCTTGGGCTTCACCTTGACTTTCAGCATTGAATTCCTGCTCTTCATTTTCACCCTCATCAACTTTCATTTCACCGTCTTCTGCTTGGAGTTCACCTTCACCTTCATCAGTTCCTTTTTTTTCTGCTTGGAGTTCACCTTCACTGTCACAATCAGCAGCGTCTTTTCCTTCTTCGATTTCACCCTCAGGTTCACCTTCTCCTGCTTCAATTTCACCTTCAGGTTCACCTTCTCCTGCTTCTGCTTTGATTTCATCTTCATGCTCACCTTCTCCTTCTCTTACTTTGATTTCACCTTCACCTTCCAGTTCAGTTTCACCTCCACCTTGTCCATTTTCAACTCCACCAGGAGCTTCCACCTCTTCACCTATCACTTCACCTGTGCTCTCAGCTCCAGGCACCTCTCCTTCCTGCAATTCAAAGCCAACAGATTAGTGTGTAATAACTGCTCTGCTTGTTTTCCTTTCCAGTTTTTCCCCATTTTTGTTGTTGTTCTCGGAAAGAATCTAAAAACCTGAGTATGTGGAGGAAACTAGTGCAATCCTTCAGCAAAATTCCCTTCCTAGCATTCCCACCTGGTGGTTGTCCTGTCTTTATCTGATCATTTTTCAGGGATGAAAAACTCACCACCTCAGGTGGCTTCTGCATCTTGACAACTCTGATTAAAGTCCATATTCATAATAAGGTTCTACCCTCTATGTATAGTTTGAGCCACACAGAACAAAGCTAATCACCCTTCCACAAGACCGCTTTTTTCCCCTTGAGTCAGAGATTCCCAGATTTTTCCATCTTTCCATGCTATGCCCTGAAGCCTCCTCCCCATGTTGGTGAACTCATTCTAGTTATATTACACCCCATGAGGAAGCTTTGAAAGCAACACAGAACACCAGACAGAGTAGAATAGGATTATCACCTCCTTTTCTTAGATACCTGTTTCTATTAGTGTTGCCTAGTATGGCATATCTTTTGGTGGATACATTGCTGAGTCTACTAAAACTTCTAAGTTGTCATATTACCTTTTATGTATAAAATGATGATGATAATGCCTACTTATGGAGGGTTTTTATGTGCCAGGCACCATGCTAAGTGGCTTAAATAATAATAATAATAGCTAGCACTTAGTGCATTTCATGAGTTAATTAATTTATGATAAAGATAGAATTGAACCCATCTAATAGATGGAGAAACTAGGTTACAGAGCAGTTAACATGCCCATAGTTGGCACAATAAGTGATGAAGTTGGGCCTTGTAATACAGATAGTCCAACTCTCAGCCTCTTAACCATCAAGCTACCCTGCTTTGCAAATGTGAAAGATGAAAGAGATCTTTGGTTCTCAAAGCTGCTAGCTTGGGGACCTTAGTAGGAATACAGATTTTCAAAATAAATTAATAAAAGAAATACAGATGTCCTGGCCCCATCTGGGTCAAGTGAATTAGAAGCCAGGAGTCTATTTTAATGTGCTCACAAGTGCTCCTAATACATCCACTTGTAGACGAGTGTTTGGGAACCAAGGACTGACCCCATATACACTCTAAAGCCACTAACTCTGAGTGTCCACAGATTAGGCACACGACTAACCTATAGCAACATGCTGAGCCAGTCCATTGAGCAAATGACTTGGGCTGTGTGCCCATGGAGTATGTCACCTATAACAAATTTTGTGACACAGCCAACCCCTAAAGGATGCTCAGTGATTCTCAACCCTGCTGCATATTAGAATCACCTGGAGGCTTTAAAAACATTCAAGCCCAAGGACCCACCCCAGATATTCTAATTTAATTAGTTGAGGGTGAGGTCTGGGCATTTTTTAAAGTTCCTCAAATTATTCTAATATGCAACCAGAGTTGTAAACCCCTGATGTAGTAGTCAAATATTAATATTCATGAGGCCTGTGCTTTGAATTGGAAATGAACAACAAGAAGATTTTAGTCTGAAATAATTCCTGCCCTCCCTCCCCCATCAGGAGAGAAATCTTCCTGGAAAAGATAATAAGTCATTTAAATCCATAAGTATGGGAGTGTCTGCCCAACCTGCCATCTTTTCTCTAAGAACTGTCACCCCTAACACCCTCTGAACAGGTGGCTCTCTTTTTCCATGTTGGAGTCAAAGCAACTCACCACTCCCTGCCACAGCTGATTGGACAAAGGCTGGATCCCTGACCTGTGACCTGGTTTGAACAGATTCTTTCTGTCTCTTCTGAGACTGGGAGCCAGTCATTGGTTGATCCCCCTGCGGACCCAAGGCCCAGCGTGGTGGTTTAGGGCTATGTGTGCCAAGAAGAAAGCAATAAGAAGAAAGCAAATGAAGTCAGGCTACCAGGAGAAGCTGAGTGATAAAGCCTGCACACAGAGAATGAGGGACATGAGGGAAAGCAAGAGAAAGAGTGAGAAGCCACTGGAGTTACAGATGCCTGCTCAGGCCTAAGTGCAGTTCTCTCTGAGACCGATCTTGCCCTTGGATTTCAGGAGATACCTCCATATTCTCTTAATCGCTGTCACTTAAGCTGGCTGTAATGGGTCTACTCAGGACACTCATGATACCATCAAGTTTAGACACTAAACCCAAAGTTGCTGGCTTTGGGATGAGATATAATTGACTGTTTCTCGGTGTCAAGCAGAAAAAACAAACAGGGATGGAACTTGTAAACGAAATGCTTATTTTCTGTCATTACTCAACCCTTACTAAGCACAGCTGTGTATGCCAGGCATTGCATTTCTCTCGTGGGAGAGACAGACAACTCAGACCTGCATCCTGCCTGCCGGAACCTCGCCACCTGCAGGAGAACTAAGACTACTAAATAGAGTTTGGGGAAGGCAGTGCTAAGACAGAGACCCCTGAGACAGAGACCAAGTACGATGGGCATTCGTTCATCAGATGGGGACTATAGAGGGTCAGGGAAGCTTGATGGCAATGGAGGCATTTACAGTGGCCTGGAGGGGAAAAGGTATCCTGAGGTGGGAGGACCAAGGCCTGGAGGTAGGAAAGCGGAGACAAGGAGCCCAGTTGGCTGGAGAATGGTGGAAGAGGCTGCGTGGCCATAAAGACGGTGACGATGGAACTCTGGAAGCCCTGTGGACAAACCTCCGGGGGGTCCCAAGGCATTTATCCAGCAACTCTCCCTGCTGCGTTCAGAGCTGACTGGCCTCATTGCCCCCTAGTTTCTGACAGACCCCCTAACAGCTACTCCTCATGTTCTTACAGCGTGTGATGGTTGGCAACACATTCTCATATGTATTATCTCACTCATACTAAGCCATTAAGGGTGAATTAACTGGCCCCATGCGAGCCTCAGAGGAATGGACCCCAAATAGTGTTTCAGACCCTCAAAAAGGAAGGATTTTTGATCAGCAAGCCCTTCCCTGGACCTCTTAGATTCTCCACCTGAGAAGAGGCCTGTGCCTACCTGACCACCAGCATCCTCTTCTTGATCTCCCTTGGCATCTGGAGCAGGCGCTGGCGTGACTGTGACCTCAGGAAGCTCGGCTGACTCCTCCTCTTAAAGGATAAACATGGAATAGGTCAGAAGAGCAGGTTCTGAGAGCAGCTGCCAGAGGCTAGTATGAGGGGCTATGGAGCTATTGGACTTGTCCCCCTCAGCATCTCAGAAAGTTTGGGGAACTTCTGGTCGATAGAAAAAGTAACATGATGTGATACAGTTATTGCCCCATCCACAGAGATAGCTGCAGATAAGAGGGCAGCTGGGAAGTGGCCATCCTTGCTCCCCTGTATTCACAAACATTTCCATCCTGATCAGTGCAGCCGAGGATCCCGTGAACAGCTTGGGCAACTGAGACCAGAGAGAGGGCAAAGCTCCACCCCTCAGGGGCTGAGCCTTCCCCCCACCACCTACGTGGAGAGGATCCTGAATACTTCAAAGGCAGCCACTTGGAAGCCTTGAAATAGGACTGCGGCAAGTCACTGGACCTCTCAACCTGGGTCTCCTTGTCTATAAAATTGGAAAAATGGCTGTTGCTATCCTTCCTTCCAAGGGTTGCTGGGTGCATTAGGCAGGCCTGGTGTGCTGTGCAGCTCCATCTGGGCTTGCCACATGGATGCTGTACTTCTGTATCATGGGACCTCTGGGTCCTTCCCTCCTGGGGTTGCTGGTCTCAGACCAATCCCTACCAGCACTATCCTTGTGTAGAAGTGACAGGAAAAAGAAATGGGCCAATAGAGTCTCCTTTGGGATGAGATTTGGTGAAAAAGAAATAGGACTTCACACACATACACATACACACTCACCAGCCTGGCCTGGCCTGGCTGGGCCCATCAGAGGGAAGTGTGCAGGGAACCTTCCAGGACCTCCCTTGAGCCAGCAGCCCCATCAGAAAGGGAGCACGCTGGAAGGAAAAGGCCAGAGTGCAGCACCAGATCATCGCTCCAGCTGACAGGCTCAGAGAGGCCAAGAGGCATGCCTCAGCCCCTGGCCAACAGGAGGGAGGAAGGTGGCAGGAGGAAACCCAGCGGTCTTGCCATCCTCTCACCTTCTTGTTTGTTCTCTGTGTTAGCGTGAGGCTTGGCTTTGGCCTCCTGACTCAAGCTCTCCTCCTTGTCTCTGGAGGGGCGGGCTGCAAACAAGAAAGGGAACACATCTTATCTGGGACCCTGCAGTGGGGCTGGCCAGCTGACGTGGGTGGGAAGAGGCTGGCCTGGGAGTTGTGGTCTGGATGCTGGTCCTACTAGGCTTGTTCATGCTGCCCAATCCCAAACTTTCACCTTAAATCTCCTGCATCATTACTAACTGGCTGTGATCTTAGGCAAATCACTTCCCCTCTCTAATCCTATTTCCTTTCTGATAAAACATCATGATACCCTCAGAGCACGGATATGGGGGTCTGTGAGACAAAATTAAAAATGTTTTAACTGCTACAATTAAAAACTGCTACTTTAGCAATGCTGGGACCAGAGGGCCTGGGTTTGAATCCTGGTTCTGCCACTTGCTACCCTAGGACCTAGCTGACGGATCCGTAACTTCTCTGTACCTGTAAGATCTTACGGGGCTGTTAAAGGAATAAATAAGTTTACACACGAAGGTGCCTAAAACAGTGCCTGGCACCTGGAAAGCACCATAGAAGCATTAGCTACAACAAGGATGAAGTGACGAGAGCAGTTGTGAGCAGCTGTGCCACCCTGGGAACAACTCTGCGGTGGCCCAGGACTCCAGAGGGTTCGTGTTAGAAGGGACACTTTAGGTGCTCCAGTCCATGATGCAGGCAGACTGGGAAGGGGCAAGGCAGGAAGCCGCGGAGATCATACCCCACCTGGGTCCAGAATGGGCAAGAAAGATAAACATGGAGAGTCCTCCTTCCAACCCAGCACTTAAACACTCAGGGTTGGTTCTGGCAGGAGGCTGCACCTGCAGAGCCAGCACTCGGGCACGCAAGGCCCCTGCAAGTGTCCCAGTGGCCTGCCCAGCAGGTCCTCAGCTGTGCGGTCAGGAACCCGGCACTCCGCTGCCTCTTTCGTCCACACAACTTTAATTGCCTCCCCCCGGCATGGATGGAGCATCACGGTCTTCTGTGGGGCAACACAGAGTTGCTGTTACCACAGGAAAGCTCCCTGGGCTGCCGTTCTGGCCCTGAGAGTGGCTGCTGTCTGTAGGCTGAAAGGGCTGGCGAGAAAAACCAAGTTCCCCTGTTGCCTTCTTGCCCCTCATTACACACCCTAACCCTCATCTCCATGCCACTGAGGAAAGCAGGTCACCCAGGACCTCCTTCCATTCCTCCCTCCTTCTTTCTCGTGCATACACACACATATCCAAGGGAAACCACCAAAAAAGGCATAGGATCCTGGAGAAGAGAAGGCCTTTCACATGGTAGGTGAGAGTTCGGACCACACATCAGCTCTGTGGAAAGAGAAACATCTGGAGAGGCATTTGGAAACACAAACATGGATCTGGAAAGTCTTAGGAAGAAAGGCCTTCATCACCGCTTTGCAAGGTCCCAGCCCCTCCTGGATGGGGTCTTGGGGTGTAGAATCAGAGTTGGCTTCTCTGAGCTGGACTTCATCCCAGAGCATATCAGCAATCGTCCGCCGCAAGGGCCTTTCCACACCTGCCTCATGTGCACACAATGTACCAAGCTCGCTTGTCTTCCCGGGGATGACTGTCACCGACGCCCCCATCACTTGTTTCCTCACGTGGCCTTTCTGCTCTCAGCGTGGCCGGATCATCTCCTACTTAGTATCAATCTCCTCTGACCTCTGCCTGGCCTGGCCATCACATAATCCTGTTAGGGCAAGTAGGTCAGCCGTTGGTAGGCTCCTGGTCATGGCCCAGGCAGGGGCACCTGAGGTCCCATTCAGGAGATCTTTCTCTTCAGGACTTTGCTAGAGTTGGTGAGTTGGCCGCAAGGAGTGGCCAAGCATAACCCAGAAATACAGCTTCCTTCACTGCCCCAGGTCAGACGTCTCTGCAGTACTGATCACCCATAGGCTGCTGGGTACTGCGAACTCCACTCTCAAAACTCCAGGGCCACTGTTTTTCTGGGACTGATACTTAGGAGTGGCCTCCCTCAGTGTCTGTCGAGGCTCACCCTGAAGATTTTCAAAGGAAGGTTTGATCATCTCATCTTTGTCTCTGCTTTTCCCAGTCCAACACCTTTTTAAATACCCAACAACCTAATACTGTACCTGAAGGGGATACTTCAGGGCCTGAGGAAATTCTGAGCCCACCCCCACCCCAAGATTTGTCCCTGAACAAGAAAGGTCAGTCAGGGTGCTTCCTGATGCTCAAGAGTCAGTCTCCAGTGTCATATTCAGCTCAGCCCTCGGGGGAAGGGGCCAGAAGGCAGAACTTGGTAAGGTGGACGGTGAGAATCTCAGTTACTCCCATCATTTGTCCAGTTGGACATCAGACCCCATTTTACTTGGACCCCTCCCACCCCTGAAGCCTCTTTGGGGTTCCTAGCTGGGAAGAGGGTCAGCAGTTTTCCTAGGACTCCAGAGCTAAACACAGAGCAAAGGGAGGTACCACAGAGCTTCTGGGCTGTGGGGCCCTACAGGAGGTACCCCCAGAATTCAGCGAGGCCCAGCTGCCTGGCTGGAGATTCTGTGGGATCCTGGAGCCAACTTGTGGGTGATGGGCTTTCCAGGGAACTCACTGAGGGTCACCCCAACATAGACCAGAGCAGAGCACACAGCACTTATGGCCTCACTAACTACAGGTGAGCCCTTTTATAGGAGGGGGCATGGAGACAGGGAAGTCGTGGGGTATGGATACCTAAAGACCTTAACTCGTTGGGGCCCTCTCCTGTTGAGTCCTGTGCCTTCTCTCTCCCCTGTCTCCCAGTCTGTTGACCTCACCCCCAAAGTCTCCTCTGCTCTCTATTTCCCACTCCACCCTCATCCTACCCACTGCCTCCTAGTTTGGCAGGTCCCCGTTCTTGTCCAGCTGCAGGAGGGAAGGGGTGGACAGGAGACCACGCGGGTCCAGGGAGGCCTTGCTTACCTTCTCCCAGAGGGTCCAGGCTGTGGAGCATGAGCTGGTAGATGGTGCTGCGGATGGTGCTGTTGTGCAGAGAGGCAGAGCTGCTCCCTCGGGTCAGCACTGCTGGGAGCACTGCCGGGAGCTGAGCAGGGGAGAACCGCACAGGCCTCAGTGGGCCCCTGCCCACGGCAGGTTAGGAGCCGCACGAGGGCCTCACTAACCCTGCCTCCTGCCCTTGGAGGACAAAACAAAGCCCGGGAGCCTTATCCAGGCCTCCCCTCTCCCCTCACCCCACTCAGGAGAGTTACACTGCTTGCTTCCCCAGCCTCCCCTCACTCTTCCATGACTGGCTCAATCTACATACGGAATAGTTCCCCAGTAATTCCCTCAACAGGGAGCAGTGTCCTTCCCTGAAAATACAGTCTCGTAGAAACACACACTCACCCACACACCACACACAGCCCACTGTGGCCGGGTACAGCCCTTTACAGTTACAAAGCATCATCATGCCTTATCATTGCCCCAGCCCCCCATAAGCAAGGCTGTGATCCCCTTCTACAGCAAAGGAAATGAAAACTGGACGGGGCCAGGTGACTTGTCCAAGGTCATGTTGGGAGGAAATGAAAGACTTAAAAGTAGCACTGGGGCCTTTTTGATTCCCAGTTGCATTCTTTTCTTTCCTACTCGCAGATGTCCAAGAGACCTTCAGAGGCGCACACATACTCACATCTGTATGTGCAGGTACCCAGACGTGACACACACAGAAACAGCATCTGATTTACAAAGGACCATCCAAAGACAGACCAACCCGTGCTCAGGGCCCCCCTCCCCACCCTTCCCGCAGCCCCTCCCCGCACCCCTCCCCCATCCCTCTGGAGCTGAACTCCTCTGCCATCTAGTGGCTGTGGTAACACAGCACTTCGCAACAGGCCGAGCGATTTTCTTTGGACGAGGAAGATTTCATTCAGGCCCCAGCCTCTCTGCTCTAAGGTTCCCATAATTCTTCCCAAATAGCCCACCGGGCAAAGGCAACTAAGACACAGTTTTTTCAGAAACCTCAGACTGCCCTGCTCCCAGTGCCCTTCCTGTGTTTCTCTTATTTCTGGAGCATTCCAAAGCTACGGTAATTAGGCTTTTAGATCAATTATAGAAGTTGGGGCTTGGGTTCATCTAGTCCACAATCATTTAAAGATGCAAAAGCTCATACAGCAAGCTCGTGGCAGAGCAAGCAAGGAGTGACAACAAGCGCCTCCTCCAAGGCGACCTTGGAGGTGACAGTCCCTCCAGCAAAGGAGCCAGCTCCGTCACTGGCTCATCCTGGCAGCATTCCCGGGAGCTTCCCAGGCCTGGACCTGGCCCAGGATCCCCGGCATCAGGGCCACAGTGCCTCAGGTATCTATGGCTGTCCTTGAGACCCTGCGGTGTCCCCAGTTGGCAGACTCCACATGGCACCCACCTTTAGCTTCTTGTTTTCCTGTAGCTCATCCACCGCAACTGCCCCATTGCCTGGCTGCAAACAGGGACAGGAGTCACGCACGGGATGTTTGGAGTGACCCTTGCTCTCTCTCCCTCCCTACATCCCTTTCTCTCCAGGCAACCCTCAGGTGGGAACGCAGAACACATCCAAAGATAACCAGGTCTCAGAAGGTGTGTTACCATGTCCAAACCCCGGCCTGGCCTTTCACAGCCTGCCTTCCGCCTGCACACAGTTTCCCAGTCAAATGTGTCCCCTGCCTACACTCCAGTAACACCGTCTTTCAGTCCCTCAGACATACCATCTTCTTTACCCACGTTTGGAACCCTCCTTCCCTCGCTCCCCATATTTCAGATCTCCATCTACACATCACCTTCCTCTGGGAAGCTAAGGTGTCGTCTTAGTCTCTTTTATAGATTCCTGTTCTCTTCCTCCATAGCACTTCCTTCAACTTGTTTGTATGATAACAAACATTGTTAACAAACATACAAGTAAATTAACTGCCCCACCAGCATCTTGAAGGCAGATTGCCAATTTCATTTGCCACTGTGTGTGCAGCACAAAAACACTCTTGGGCACTCAGTGAAGGTTCAATAAATATTTGTTGAATGATGCATGAATACTCAATCCATTCCAACTCCTGGTCCCTTGTTCACACCTTTTCCCTCTGCTTCAAATGCCTTCTCCATTCCTCCATTCCTCCACATCTACCAGTGTTTTTAGAAAATTCAGGGTGAATTCTTGATAAAGCTCTCCTGAATGACCTCTTCTATTCCCTCCCTCACTCCAACTCACTATGATACTCTCTCCTCAAAAGCTGTATAACAACAGTAAGCACATTTTGTGTTACCAAAATCTGGCTCTGGGATCAAGTAAGTGCTAGTGTCTTGGGGAAGCTGCAGGGCAGCCAGCTAGGAAATGAGACAAAATCTAAGATGAAGAATCATTAAACCCACAGTACTTATTGTCTGGACCACTGGCTTTCCATCTTACATTTACTGCTTTATAATGCCATTTGAACTCTGAAAAGAAGCATTTTTTTGACTTTTGACATATGTGAATTATCCAGCTAGACTCCATGTTTTTTTTTTTTTTTTTTGAACTTCTGATACAGGCACCCTTGTTCCCCCAACCTGTGACATGGTGTTTTGTACACAGTAGGTGCTCACTAAAGATGAGCTGAATGAGTGGCTACTCCTATGTAGCTTCTAGTAGCTTCTATCTTCAATCAGCTAGACAGTTACTAGCTGCCCCCAGTAACTGTCTTCGCCTCCCCCTGTTGGCCTCCAAGGCCAGAACTAGAATTCAACTTGCCTTGCTCCTGTCTCTATTTCAACTCAGAAAATTTAAAAAAAAAAAAAAGTGCCTGAGCCAAGGCTACTCACCCTCCCATCTACCCAATTTGTTCATTCATTCGCTATTTCCTGAGCACCTGCTGTTTATAGGTCAGTGTGCTAGTGCTGTCGGGACACAAAGATCTCTAGGACACAGGTTCCATGTCCAGAAAGGAATCGGGACCCATAATGACAAAGCAGAACGTGGTTCAAGAAATGAGAAGCGGGATCCCTGGGTGGCGCAGCGGTTTGGCGCCTGCCTTTGGCCCAGGGCGCGATCCTGGAGACCTGGGATCGAATCCCATGTCGGGCTCCCGGTGCATGGAGCCTGCTTCTCCCTCTGCCTCTCTCTCTGTGACTATCATAAATAAATAAAAATTAAAAAAAAAAAGAAATGAGAAGCATAGATAAAGGTGCTGTGGTGTGAGGGACAAGAAGGCTTCCTGAAGTAGAGAGAATTTGAGTAAGCTTTGAAGGATGAGGGAGGTTTGAATGCTGGATATAGATCAATGAATGCAATGAATAAATGGATGGATGAACAAATGAATACGCAAAAAAATGAATGAAACAGAGCAGAAATAACCAACCTGCATATGAAGAGAGCACTGCTGATTTTCTTAACAAATCCCCTGCTCTTTCACGACAGCCCTGTAAGTTTACTGGCCTACCAACTTACTGACCCACCATCTCGTGGTTTATCATGTCCAACCTTCACCCAATGAGTTTTTGGAGGCAAAAAAAAACTGTGAGAAGCCAGGCTGCCCTTTGAAATAGCTATTTCTGTCCACAGACGGACAGGGGAGATAGACGTTTGCCCCATTGTGCACATGCCTAATGATTTTTCTGCTATTCAGATTTACTCAAGTCAAAATACTTCTCTAGGAGTTCATCATTCTTGGAACACATCAATATCTTCTGAGTTCAGCATGGACTTCTAGCTCTCTGAAGCCTTTCACATTCTCTTTCTCATCCAAGACTACTAACTCCATGAAGCAGACAAGGTTAGTATTATTACTGCTTTTTGATGGGAAAATAGAGAAGCAGAAAGAGTGTGCCACTTGCCCACGCTCACAAAGACAGCATCAAGAACTCTGATCTCCTGATCCCCATTAGAAGTATGTTGTTGTTGTTTACTAACTCGTATTTTTCCCCAAGCATAAACAAGGTAATGAGGTAAAATCTCTATTCCCTAGTGGCTTTGTTTCAAATTATTGACATTTTAGGTCAATGGACATGAGGACATGAATGTTTGTCTCCATTTAGATGTGGATGGTGGGCCCATTTATGGGTAGCAGTTGGGGCAGGTAGGTGTTTTCAGAATATGCCCTTAGTACAAACGTATTTCACATCCACCTCTGATACCAATCCATTGCCCCTCTTTCTTCAGCCTTATCACCCCGCCTTCTCATCTACTCTCGAAAAGGAGTTGAAGAAACCAAAGAGGATGTCTTGGTGCCAGCCAAAACCCCCAGCACCCGTGATGCATCTTGCTGATGTTGAGCAGGGAGATCCATTGCAGCCATTCATGGGAACCTGTGATGGCAAATATGGTGGCCTCTCAGGGGGCTTCTCCTCCTGACTTCCAATTTCTATCTCCCACTGATGTAGCAGTTAATCATTGACCTCTCCCCTTCTAGACCTTCCAAGATACATTTCCTGAACCACATTATTAGTCTGTGATTTTTTTTCACATTCATTTAACAAATATTAACTGAATCCTTGGTCTGAGTTCTGCCTTCATCTAGGTTATACTCCTAGTAGGGGACTCTTCAGCCCTTTCCTGAGTATAGTCTTGCACCCTGATCCACACATGCATCTAAGCTGGAAATCCAGAAATTTACCCAAATTCCTCCCTCTCCTTCACAGCCCATGTCCAATTAGCTATCAGACCTAGTTCCTAAAAGTCCTCAAATTTGCCTCATCTCGGGGCAGCTGAGGTGGCTCAGGGGGTATAGCGCCTCCTTCAGTCCAGGGCCTGATCCTGTAGACCTGGGATCGGGTCCCACCTCGGGCTCCCTGCATGGAGCCTGCTTCTCCCTCTGTGTCTCTGCCTCTCTCTCCGTGTCTCCCATGAATAAATAAATAAAATAATTTAAAAAAATTTGCCTCATCTCTCCACTCTCCTGCCTACAGTCCTGCAAAACCCTCTGACTCTTGATCTGTTCCTCTTCCAGGTCATTCTCCATACCTCAACCAGAGTGCTTTTCTTTTTTTTTTTTTTTTCAGAGTGCTTTTCTGAACAAAGCACAAATCTTGTCCCTCCCCCGCATCCTAGTGGCTTACTATCCTCACAAGGGAGTCCAGTCTCCTTGGCTGAGCACATATCAGCCTCCTGCTTACCTCCAGTACAGCTCTGTCCAACAGAAATAGAATGCAAGTCAAATACATCATTTTAACTATTTTACTAGCCACATTTTTTAAAGTAAAAGAAATGGGTGAAATTAATTTTAATAATATACTTTTTTAAAAATTTTTATTTATGATAGTTACACAGAGAGAGAGAGAGAAAGGCAGAGACATAAGCAGGCTCCATGCACCGGGAGCCCGACATGGGACTCAATCCCGGGAGCCCGACGTGGGACTCGATCCCGGGTCTCCAGGACTGCACCCTGGGCCGAAGGCAGGTGCCAAACCACTGCGCCACCCAGGGATCCCCTTAATAATATACTTTAACTCACTATACTAAAAGTATTATAATTCAACATGTAATTAACAGGGCGGCCCCGGGTGGCTCAGCGGTTTAGCGCCACCTTCAGTCCAGGGCATGATCCTGGAGACCCAGAGTCGAGTCCCATGTCAGGCTCCCTGAATGGAACCTGCTTCTCCCTCTGCCTGTGTCTCTGCCTCTCTCTCTCTCTCTCTCTCTCTCTCTGTCTCTCTGTGTGTGTGTGTGTGTGTGTGTGTGTGTGTGTGTGTGTGTGTGTGTGTCTCAGGAATAAATAAATAAAATATTTTTTAAAAAAACATGTAATTAACAAAAAATATCACTGAGTTCTTTTACCCTTTGGTTTTCATACTAAGCCTTTGTTGTTGTTGTTGTTTTCATACTAAGCCTTTGAAACCCAGCGTATATTTTATACTTACAGCATATCTCAGTTCAGATTAGCACCAATTCAAGAGCTCAGCAGCTGCATGTAGCTAGTGGCCACCATCCTGGACAGGGCAGCTATGGTCTCACAGTATCTCATTCCCTTGGCCTCTCCACAAGGCCAGGAGAGTTCTCACCCCTTCTTCAGTTAGTAATCCACCCCCGCCCTCCACTCTGCTTGTCCTTCAAGATTCTGCTAAGCATCCCCTCCCAGAGGAAGCCTTCCCTGACTCTCTGGTCTGTGGAGATGTTCACTCTCTGCAAGTACTAAATCCCTCAGCACTTTCCTATACCATCACACATGGTATGGTAACTATCCATTTTATTTACCTGTCTTCCCTTCCAAGAAGGATTTACCATGGAGCTAATGAAGCTTAAGTTCCAAGGCCCATGTCTCCCCCACACAAACCCTTTTCAAGGCCCTGTATCTGATTTTGTACCAGTAGTTTTATACTCTTTTTTCTTAAAGAGTGTCAGGCCCCGCGACACCTGGATCAGCTCCCACTCTGCTAGGCTGAGCTCATCAAGGGCTTGGGATTGTGCCTTTTCTCTCACTGTAACCCCAGACCCTACACAGGCCTCAAAGGGATTCAATAAATGTTTTCTGAACAAAT